ATCTATTATAACTAAATGGACCGAATATTAAACAATGAGGTTAGTAATTGTACCAAGTAGTTTTACTAAAAATTAATATATAGCAAATAAAAATAATTAAAATTTAAAGATGCCAATTTATAAAGTGTAAAAGCACTAATGCTACGTAATATTACGTGATTTTAGAGAATTTTTACCCCTATTACGAATAATATATTGGATGCATAGTATTATATATCTCTTGTTACCAACCCCTCAATGCATATTACCTAATATTCGTACGTAGGCTTAAAACACGAAATTTGGGCTAACAAAATTATTATTATTATTTTTTTACCTAACTATAATAGTAATATATAATACGTAGTAATATATAATAGTAATATATAATAGAATATTTGTTATTTGTTATTATGCACAACCATGCATAAGGATTGAACCCGAAATATACAGTGGTTTAGGTGTAACCAGGTAGGAAATTTCTGATTAACCGATTTCTAGGTTCATCAATGAATAGCAATATCGAGAAAACCATGGGACAGACAATAGCACGTGACAAAATTAAAGATTACGCAAAAGTTACGTAAGTTTCGTTTGGATCCTATAAACGATAACAGATAATAGATGCATACTTATTTACGTCACTAGTTACATTATAAACCGGTTTGGGATCTATAATCCTTATCATATATTTACATCCCGGCAATTAAGCACCAGGATTTTGTACATACGTACGAAACTCATATCGTTTGTTGTGTTACCGAAAGTTTTTCCAATATTCGTTACCGTTGTCCAGTAAAAAAGATTTTTTTCAAAGATATAAAAAAATTTTCAACAATTTCGCAGATATCTTACACTATATAGTAAAAAATATTTTAATATTTTATGTATTAAAATACGGTAAAAGTATAATTAAACATTGCTATTACAGTTATTACAGTTATTACAGTTATTACAGTATTAGATTATTAGAGTCAGACCTCTCAATAATCACCCTTTCTATAAGAACATCATATAAGAATTGTCTTTATATTTTAAATCAACTATATAATCAATATATAGAAATATATAGAAATACAATATATAGAAAAAAACTCTATATAAGTACAGTAAGTGGGAATATAAATTGAGTATATTTGAATCTCAATAAATTAGAATTTTGGGGTATAAATTATTTTATATAAACGTACTCCCTAACCCTGAAGTTCCAAATCATTAAATTCCGTTCTCACAGCATATATATACAGCATATATTATTTAGTTAATGATTTAAGTACACCTAAGTACACCTCTTTATAATCACACCCCCCAAAAAAACATAGTATCTTTTATTTTATTTTTTTTTTAAAGAGGTTATAAAACGGTTGTGCTCATGTTGTGAGAAAGGAATTTTAATGGAATTGGAAGTTTATAGGATTTTAAAGTTAGGGCGTAGATTTATACGTATAAGTTCTACCCTAAAATTCTAATTTTATTAAAGAAATTTCAAAACTACATGAATTCCGACCTTATTTGCAACATATACATAAATATATATACATATATATATATATATATATATATATATATATATATATATATATATAGTATATGTATTTTACAATATAATTTCAAGTAAAATGTTATTTTTTAATTAGTGGTAGTAATAGTCAGCTCTTATCAAATGAAAAACTTTTGAGGTCAAATCAGGTGAGACCCACAACACCAATTCAGGAGATTTACACTGTATAACTTCAACACATCATCATATAGGGCATGTGTACCCACAGAATGTGTAATGATACAACTCGGGAGGTTCATATCACTTAATGCAGGATCTTTAAAGGTACGTACGTAGTAAGTATGTAAGTAGACATATCATTTGCGCAATTAATAATACTTAATAAGTTTAATACGTGTATGAATTATTTTATATTGAAAGTATTCAAAATCTTTTAAAATGTTAATTCACAACGTAGCATTTTAACAGACGTGACAAAATAATATGGATGGAAATATGTCACACGTACTGCATAATAGCGTGTCAGAGGATAAAATTTGGTAATATATTATATTATTATTGAAATTGGTGCATATATCACACCAAGTCAATTGGCATGCAAGATGCATGCACCTGATTGTTATTATAAACTATACAGTAAATTTAGTATTTTGTTTTGCGTGTTATGAAGAGAATATTTTTGACTTTATGAACAGTAATAATGACTTTTTAAACTAATATTATGGGCTAATTTTGATTGTGATCTAAATAGTAGAACCGGTTACTTATAACTCCGGTCAAATTTACAGATCATTTGGCCAGGCCAGATTTGGAATCATTAAGCTCTGGAATTAGCCAAACGATCTGCAACTTTGACCAGAGTTATAAGTAATCGGTTCTACTATTTAAATCACAAATAAAATTAGCCGTGATGTTCTTCTATTTTCATAAAGGATCTGAAAGGTTTATAAAATTATAAAGGTTAATATTTAGCACATATAACAGGGAAATGTTTAGAAAATTAGTCAATATATATGATTTTTATCTCATTATTAGTCAGGTGAAAAGCCTTATTATTTACTAGAATATTTGTATATCGAATATTGAAATTGACAAAACGTCAAAACGTGATTAGAAAGTTCAAAAGATGCTTTTCTAATATAATATATACATACATACATATATATATATATATATTCAAAATAGGGTTGTGAACATGCTTGACTACCATATAAAGTTGAATTAACGACGCGTCTAGACACGACTACAGCTTGCATAAAAAAACTTTCCAAACTTTGAATTATGCTGATGAGATGAGGAGAGATTTTTAAGTATTTTTAATTGAATCCAAGTTTTTAAAAAGGTTCAATATATGCATAATATACATAATAATATACATAACTTAATATACATAACTTAATATACATAACTTGATATACATAACTTGATATACATAACTTGATATACATAACTTTATGCACTTTTTTATTCTCAATACCAATAAATAAATCTATAAAATTGATGATGGTATTGCTTGCCTTTGATAGATTATTAAGTCTCGGCAGAGCTTTTAATAATCTAGACTTATGCTACACATAAATATGCTCAGCCGTATTGGAAGTACAACCCAAAAGTTGATACTTTTAGGAAAGTTGGCGGCATCATCTTGTCGCGAATATAATCTATGCAATTATTATTGTCGCCTGTTCTCTACGAACCAATCAAAATCCGTCGGATAATTTATATTTAAAAGAAAACAAAAGGACAAAGGACGCCATTAACGTAATAAAGCTGATCCTGTATATGATAATGCAAATGTATGTCTAACAATTCCAATTGACGCGGCTTTTGCTTTTAACACAAGCCAAACTATTGGATGATCATTGATGTCCTGGACACAGGCATAATTGAACAACTTAATTACGTGTCATAATAATTTTATTTGGCTTTTCAAGTCAAGTATCTTCATGGTTGTCACATAGAATAACAGGCGTAAGGTCTATATATCCCTGCATATTGATTAGTCACTCAAATTGAGTTTATATCTAGTAATATGAAATTGTTATTGTAGGATTTTCCGACACCTATTTGAAAGCCATTTGAAGTCATTTGAAAGCAATTTTCCAGAAAGAACATAAATCAGCTACCATCATATCTAACGCCAGTAACTTTATAAGGATTATCTTCTTTAAGGAAAATGACTTTCGGGTTCTTGAGTTACAATAATACGAAACGCGAGGTAACACTTATATATAGTTAGTAAATTACTTTAAAAATATAATATTTTTACAATTATTCTTAACTTAATGAATTGCCCTATTTTATTTTTCGCATGTGAAATTCGGTAAGTAAGTACTTATTTTAAATAATATCATTACTAAAACTTTTGTCTAACGATGATCTGAAAAAGTTTAGAATTATTAAATGTTTAACTTATATTTATATTTACCTATATTGCTATACTGCGTAGAAGTCGCGCGAATGTTTTTGTAAAGTAAACAAAGTCACGATATATATAAAAGTCCTGCTATTTTGACTGTAATAATATATATGTTCAATCCTATCGTCGGTCAATTTATTAAGTACGTCTCTTTTAAAAGATTTTTTTTATTTTTTTTTATGATCCAAGAAATTGGTTTAACATGCATTATCTGCAACGCACGTTTGCGTCCCTGCTTAAGCCGATCCCATACTTAAATTTTCACTCTCCGAAATAACGATATATTAATCATGCAATCTGTGAACCCTGAAACCGTGGCTTTTCCGAAAATCCGCCCTGTCATTGTTTATTAACATATTAAATGTATGCTAAAAAATTGTGCCGAATATGTAATGTATTATGTATGCTACATATTTAATATAGATATATAATTGATATATAGTTTTTTTTTTCTTTTATATATTGCATGATCTATAAGAAATTCCGAAATATATAGAAATATATATAGTATACATAAATTCTTGCAGTCTCTCTATTTTTATTTATACTGTGTAATATGTGAAACTCCTTACAGCATTTTATCTTGATGTAAAAATTTTTTTTCTTAACCAAATCCGTTATTATGAAAAACACCAATAGCATTATAATTAATTTTGTTAAAGAGCAAAACCAACTTTCTCTATGCATTCACTACTGCGTTATTTTCGGGCGGATTATATCGACGCACGCCTATAATATGTGAATTTATTTAGTCCTTTTGTACACCCTTTTTTATCTTTGTTTTTCAACACTTTATGATGTCTCCTTCTGTGAGATGCATGACCGAAAAATTATAAAACATCGTATCGTGTCCATTCTGTCAATTTAATATTTACGATTATTATTTGTTTTTTCAAAAGCTGGTATTTGACCACTTTAAAGAAACATTCTGATTGGAATAGTAATACTTAAAACAAAGCTGCAAATAACAAACGAATCCTTTTTATCCAAAAAACCAAATTATTAATTTCACAAAAAATTAAAGCTTGAATGAAATTTTGATTATTCTTATAAAAATACTATTATATTTACAAAAAGCTTTTTCCACAATAAGATCATATTATGGATATTTTAGAACTACTTCATGTAGAATCTTATTACAGTGATACTCGTCCTTTCAGCTGTACCTGGGAAGGTTGTCATAAAGCTTTCTCAAGAAGATCTGATCTTTCTAGGCATTCCCGAATTCATACTAAAGAAAGGTACGTTGTTTCTAACTCTTTATAATACATAAAATTATTAAATGCTAATATTGCTAATATTGCTAATATGTTTTATGTTTATGTTCGTGAACAGATCTTTTACCTGTAGCGAACTTGGTTGTGGTAAAAGCTTTATTCAGGTATTTTTTCGATTTTGAATAAAAATGATTTTTTTTCATTATTTATTTTTTTATTTTTTTTTTAAAAAAAATTCCTTCTTTCACAGAGGTCTGCTCTTACAGTACATTTACGGACGCATACTGGGGAAAGACCTCATTTCTGCGAATACCCAGATTGTAATAAATCCTTTTCAGATAGCAGTTCTTTAGCTCGTCATAGGCGCATTCATGCCGGAAAATTTCCTTATAAATGTCTCATCGATGGATGTGAAAAAAGGTAATTTTACTTTTTTTGTAAATAAAATGGTTGGACTTGTGTGTCAACTCGTAATTCATGAATTAAACTCAAAAGTAATCGAATTATTTAATCGAATTACTTAATCGAATTACTTATCGATTTTTATTCGAGTCACAGAAATAATATTGCAAAGGCAAGCTTTTTAAATCTTATTAATATATATTAACTCGCGAGTTAAGGATTACAAGATATGAATCATGAAAAATTCGAGTTATTATTCGAGTTATATATTAGAGTCACGAGTTTATATGCGTTGATAAATTGCCAAAAAATTACATATACTTTCACATGATTTACACTACATTTTAAAAAAGCTTTTGTAGAAAAACAAATTTAATCAAGCATCATCGTCAAGTCCATATGATGCCTCACAAAAGTGACCGAACTATCGAATGGCCTTCTATTGAAGACTTTCAATATCAACATTTGCAACAAAATATTTCTTTAAACTCAACATTCCCCCCTCCCTGGTCTTTGCCTGGCATTCCAACGTTTCAAACATACCAACATTTTCAACAAGGACATTATACATCACCTCCATATTATTTTGGTCACGTACAACAATATATGCATCCTACTCATTTAAAACAACAATCTTATTTTATGGTTCCTAATCATTATCATCACTAAGCTATTTCTAATTGTGTTGAAGTAACTTATCAGAAAGAGAGGTTCACGGACTTTACAGAAATTATTACTATTTATTTTTTTATTTTTTTATTTTTTCTTTCCCTTTTTTTTTTTTTTACTATGAAATCTAAAATTTTATTTTATCCTCTTCCATTATTTGTAAATTTGGTATAAAGAATCACAAACAAAAACAATTTGACAGTTTAAAACTTTTTATTTTTCTATATAAATAAAAAAATTCCCCAAAATAGATACAGCAAGTTAAAGAAAATAAGAGAACTCGACTACCATGTTAAAAAGATCTTTTTCTTTTTTTTCTAGCAAAAATATATATACTTTTGTATATATGTGTATATTTGATAAGTTTTATAAAAAAAAAATTTTTTGTTATTTTGATTGGACATTATTAACATAGATTTGAGAATAATAATTAAATTTCTTCTTACAGTATAGTTTAATTTTTATCATTTTTGTTTTATAATAGATATATCTTTTAGTTAGTATATAATAAAAATAAATTTAGGTTAAATATAACAGATAATTATACTTCCACCCAAATCCCAGATTACTATTTCTATAACCTGGGAAAAGTTGGTACGTTGTACCCAGAAAGTGCCGGACGTTTTTAGGCCAGAACAATTCGTGACCATTCTCACAATATTTTTTTAATATTTTCAAGCACTTCAGACCAGGCACTTTGTAATCTTAGGCATAAAAATGCAGGCATTTTTTTTGGACAAACAATCTTTATTGTCCATAGGCACTTCGTGTCTAAATCATATCTCACAAAAATACCCAATACCTTTAAACCAAGTGTTTGTGCTCGTGGTATCACAATATCCCCACTTCTAGGTTAACTCATCACTCCATGTTTGTATTTATTTATTGAGCACGGGATATGCCGAGAGGAATAACTTACTCCTAAAAAATTTCGCTACCATTAGATTAGGGATACATTTCACTACGTATTAGGTTAAGGTTCGAAGGGTGTAGTGATACCAAAATCCAAAATTTCGAAAGAAAAACTCTTTGTTAGTATATAGAAGGTAATTGCATAGTTAAAGTTTTGAGTTTACGCCCGTTTTATTAGATTATTTTGATTTTTGAGTTCTTTTTTCGCGTTGCACCCATCCTGAATCTGATTGGTCAGTAAATTTTTTTAAGGCGATCATCCAATCAACTTTAAGATCAGGTGTAATGCAAAAATTCAAAACGAAGGAAAAAAAAACTGAAACTCAATGGAATTGGCTTTTGTAGGATTGTTACAAAAATATTTTTATAGTTGGTGTGGATGAACAGATCAGTTGTAACACGAAAACCAAACAACTTCATGACCCTTTAGTTAGGAAATCTTGTTCAACACAAAATTTTACAAGGAAAAACTTCTTTTTTTTTTTTATCAAAGCTATGAACTAAAACAATTAGCTACATAAAACAAATTTTTTTTACATTGCACTTGATCTTGCTCCCCGACTGGTCGATCAAGTGGGGTGCATTTACAGATAAGGTTGTTTAACGTTCGGACCGAATTAGAGATGTGGTAAATAATTTTTGTAAGAATCAGAATCATTAATTATCCCTTTACATAATATGAATGCTAACAAGTGAAAGCCACGAAATCTAGATTCTTTATACAACAAAATACAGGCTTTTAATCGATCAGAACGACTAGAATAATCGGTTGTACTGCTTTTTGATCTTGTGTTATTATCATCTAAAGCCCGCATTCCCGTTGTTTAAAGAATTCTATTTTTAGACTTCCCAGTTTCATTTTGGCGGTACTCATATTAAGTAATGTATTATATAGATTAAGTAATATATATTAAGTAATTATTATTCATCACTTATACATGTCATCACATGATAACGGTCGGGTGTGAGTAATTAACATTATAAAACTGTTATTGAGCGAAAAAAAAAGCATATCTTTTGTTACTAAAAATAGATTTCTCATAAGAATTATTATTCTTATCATTATTCAAAAAAATATTATACGTAGATATATAATATATAAAAGAATGTATAATAATTTCGCCCATCTTTGGTCCGAATTTACTCGACACTAGAAACTAATTTCAGGGCCATTGGCTTAATGCAATGCGACGTATGTATGTAAGTATGTGATGCATGACTTTTTAGTATAAATTGAATACCGCTCTTTCTATATCGATATCTATTCTGTCTATTTTTGAAATAAACTTAGGGTCGGCTTAAAAATTCGACATAAACTATATAACTTAAAAACCAACTAAATAGGACTTTTGACATTTCTGATTACAGCACACCTGCACTTATATATATGTCCCTTACAGAAAAAAAAATCTTACGATTGTTAACACTCACCGTTATCTCTTAAAAAAAAAACGGCATTAATAATTGGTATTCATTTTACCAAATAAAATTTTTAATGTCTAGATGGGAAAATTCAACTATATACGTATTATTACTAATGATTTCATTTTATTTTTTACAGTAATAATGAATAAAAGGTTGTGATGCATGCAAAAAAAAATTTAAACTCCAGATTGCATTTACAAATCGTAATAAAAATAATTGGTCATAAGTAATACGTACGTATATAGTTGGTAATAATATGTAAATGTAAAAAATATATATATTTATTATTTATATTATTACCGTGCTTATTTCTAGCATTTTTTTTAAAAAAAATTTGAGGTTCTTTATAGATGTAAAAATTATTTCTTACTACGTAATCAAGAGTAAACCCTATTTTTATATTATGTGAAGTTTGAAGATCATTAAAAAAAGAAATCACAAATTTCAGATTACTGATTTCCGATTTCTTTAACTTTTTTTTTTTTTTTTTTACTTTTAGACTAGACAAAATTTGCGCACTTTATCATTTGTAAAAATTTGGTTGAATATTTTAATTCACAACTCCTATTTCTGCAAATATATTACAAAATGATGAATATGCAACTTTTATTTTTATAAACAATAATAAAATCTTTACAATTAATAAATCTTGTCTAATCTAAAAGTCAAAAAAAAAATTTGGTAAAGAAATTGAATATTAGTGATTACTTTTTTTTAATGATCTTCAAATTTTGCAAATCACATTAAATGCTTAATCTATAAAATATTGCAAAAATCTAAATTTTAAATAAATTTGTTATATATCATTTTGACAATTTTTAAAAACTTATTTTTAATTTTTGAAAAAATATATTTAATAAAAAAAGTTTTTTAAAAAAACAAAAGTTAATTATGTAATTAAAGATTTACAAAATAAAAAAATAAAAAATTATATAGACTTTTAGAATTAATAGCATAGTAATTATGTTCTAAGGTCACAAATCACAAAGTTGCTAGTTTAAATTCTAATAATGGTAATTATAGAAATGTATTTCTAAAAATAAAGAACTGTTACATTATGAAACCAGGAACTCAAAATATTTAAAGATGAACTTATTTTAGAAATAACAAGTGACTTGTAATTAAGAAATTATATGATGAAAACTTACTTTTGAACTCTTTCTGCAAATCCTTTACACAAATCTTAACTAAAAAGTCGTCCGTACAAAAACGTTTATAACTATTTATTTTACTATGTTAACATGCTTTTGGCTCTTAAGTAAACTTGTTCAGCACTAAATTTTACATTTATTCTGAAAGTTTCAAGTCTTTAGGATTTAAACTCGTAGAGGAAAACGTACTGACGGTCTTTGGTCTTCAGAATTTACAAATTCAATTATTATTCAAAAACTACTGTCACAACCTATTCTATACTCTTAACTAAAAGTGTAGAATATATTTTTCTGGTCAAAACAAGCTCTAAATGGAAAATTTTGACCAAATATTGACTAAATTACAATCAAATTTAATTTTTACTCTCTTGTAAAAATTCTTTTCTTAATTTTTGTCCTTATCTTGGTCTGCTCATTCTTACACGTTTTTCGTGTAACATCAGATTATTTCTAAATTTATATTTAATTAAATTTACACTAAATTTACCAATATATCCTTAAATAGAATATCATTTAATACACAATCTATTCTTTTCCATATTTGGATTTAATTAATTTTACACAAAAATTGTACCTTATACTAATACTACGTTACACTGGTAACTAATATTTAGTCACACCCACCATTATAGTTTTTTATAAATTAAAATTTGGTAATACCTTATTACAAAATTACACAAATTTATTTTAAGCTATAACTATACTTAAACCTCTGTATTTGCTTATTACCCTTACATAACTATATACCTATAACCTTTTATTTAACAAAATATTTCAATATACCTATTCTTACAACAATTGAACCAGACTTCTATGATATGGATTATTATTACTCTAAATACAGAGACCATCATGGACTTGATATGAATGAGGAAACTTCTAAATCACTCTGTGTTCTTCCATCAGATGTTAATCCTAATCAATATAAAAGTCTTAAGAAAAAACAGTATTATTTCAAAGTTTCTATCCAACTGACTATTAGTACATGCTTATGTGGTCAATTTTATACAAATTTTATCTCTCATTACTACAAAATTTCTCAACCTACTATTCTTGATCTTTCTAATATGCAAATCTCTTCAATTATCTTTACTAAATGCTTTGAAAAAATTAGTGATACTTTATCTGCATCTCCAATTGTTAAACAACTTGCAATCCAATTTCCTAATTCCACTATTCTTTTTTCTTCATTCAATATCAATCCTACATCAACTGCTATTATTCCTCATTTTTAACATGTTCATATATATGTTTTATACAATATCAAAAATCTTCATTGTGTTTTTTTCTAAAAAAACAAACATTCACCAGATTATACCACAGCAATTCTTTTTAGAACTCGACTCATTCATTGTAATTGTACTTACAGAATTATTGATATCAAATTACGACATCTTTCTTAAACTAAACCTTTAACTCAAAAACAAAAGAAAATGGTTCATATATCCAAATTTATTTTACTTAACAAAACTGAAAAATTAGAACTTTTCAAAGAAATTTTAACTAAATTTC